TAATTATATTTAATACCCATTATAATTATATTTAATACCTACTGTAATTATATTTAATACCCCACTACTGTGCAAGTCTTTTGTTTTTTTTTTTTTTTGGTTATAAGTATTAACAATTACATTTAATACCCTAATGTAATTATATTTAATACTCACTGTAATTACATTTAATACCCACTGCAATTACATTTAATTTTTAAGTATACATAAGTACCATTAATTTAATTTGCTACCCTTGATTATTAATATTATAATAAAATAGTATTATTAATTGGATAATATTACCGTAATAATATGAGTTGGAGTAACTATTGTCATCATATTTATGTCACATATGGAGTTTCTCTAAGTAGCTACTCAGAGCCTACACCGATGTATAAGTCTGCTTGACACTCCACAGGGGGATGAATGTAGTCATGTAAGTATGTACTCATTAGCATTTCATGTATATTACAAGACCTTAATATTATATAAAAATGTGTTTATTTCATAAAAATTAAGTGTAGAGCCCCGTATATATAGCCAATAAAAGTTACAATAAGGATAAAAATGAAAAAAATGAAAAACTTTAATAAACCTAATAAACTACGCTGTTATAACTCCAACAGTCAGTGACAAAAACTAGGTATGCTTCTTGTGTGGGCAAGGAGATGCATCTGCTCTTACTAGAGGAGAAGAGAAATGGTAAAACGTGGATGCCAATCATTGCAATACAGCTTTGCACACATCATATTTGATGATTCTCCAACTAACTTGAAAAAGTGGCCATTGGAAAACCCGGGTTTCTTTTGCCCATCTATTTTTGCCAACACACGAGAAAGTTGGTCTACATTCTTATGCTGCTATTCTTGAGTGCAGAAAAAAAAAAATTCCAGGTTATGAATTATTTTGGTCATTTAAATTCCTTCTCACTAAAATTGTTTCTTAATTCAATTTTTATTGAAAGAAGTTTGCTGGATGTAAAGTGCTTTGTTTTACCTTGGTAAAGGACTATCCATTTTTATCTTTTATCTTCTGCTATCTTTGGCAAGCCAGAGGTCATTTACAGTGTTCCAAATATTAGTTCCTATACCTTAAAATGCTAGGGAGTTCTAATCCAATCTTATACTTTGTGGGTCTAACCATGCATGTTTCAGTCACCAGTGCAAGCATACAGAATGTCCAGAGGAATTGAAGATAGACCAGCCCCTGCCTAATGTCACCTTGATATAATTTTGGAACATATGTGATTAAAGATGATGTGAAAAGTGCATGAGATCAGTTTAGAAGTCATTAATTAACTTTCATGCGAAATGCATATCCCTTTCACCATCTGGAAATGATGAAAGTTTGCTCGACTCTGACAGAGAATTGGAGATGACACTTTGAGACAACAACTGGAAGACGTGAACTCACTGACAGAGGAACTGATTGATAGGACTATGACCAAATTTTTAGAACAGGTGAAAGATGGCAGTTGGACAACAGGTGGATGGTCTCAAGTAAACACTGACTACTCGGTGTCAAAACTTGCTGTGAATGCATACACAAGGTTTATGGCAAAGACACTTTCAGATCGCCCAGAGGGTCAGAAGATATTTATCAATTGCTACTGCCCGGGTTGGGTGAAGACTGCATTGACTGGTTGGTCTGGGCATAATTCACCGGAGGAAGGGGCTGACACTGCAGTGTGGCTTGCCCTGCTACCAGATCAGTTTGTGAGTGGCAAATTTTTTGCTGAGAGGCGCGAGATAAGTTTCTAAAGCAGTCAAATTGAAGGCTAACGCAGGGCTTGAGTTCCAGGTTCATCTTCCATTTGACTGAGATCAGATTCGACAACAGGTAATAGAAGGAATACTACTGCAAAGAAAGCTGGTTGTAATCTAAATTCTGCGATAAGAAGAGTGCCTAGTTTTAACAGTGAGCAACTGTCGCTGGCACGAGAAATAGGGAATAATTCATAGTGTCATCCATCCATGGGGAGTAAGACTGATTGCAGGAGTGAAAGAAAATGTCTGATCTCATGATAATCCTGGTTCCTGAAATCTGAGTTGTCCAAACTTTGTGCCATCCATCTCTGTTGCCTTGAGATGAGGATTTAGTGAGCATCACCCATGAATTGAAGAGCTGCATTTTGGTATATTTATTCAATTTTTATTTTTTTTGCATGCTTTTTATTAGTTGGAACTTGATTTGATATCTTTAGCAAACCATCTGTGGTAGATCTGTATTCAAGGATTTTGTAATGAATCCATACCCAAGTTTGATTAGTTAAATTTCCATTTCATGTATTAGAACTTGGATTCATGTAATCAACCCCAAAAATTTTGGGACAACGCTTTGTTAAGTTGAGTTGTTCTTGATGCATTGGCAAAGTGTGCACTTCTTTTTTAGTCAAAAAGTGTTTTTAAAACCGTGGTAAAAATAAAAGTGAGTAGATTTATAATGCAAGTGAGGTTAAACAATTTATCGTGATAAAAAAATTTATTGTGGTTAAAACTTAAGTTGTTAGGCAAAAACATTGGATCATCCCTATCTGAACTTTTTTATTTTTTTATAGTACAAACCCTTCAATTTTAGTATATAGATGGCAAATAAACAGAGAGGGACTGTCTTTAATATAAGGATTTGGATCACTTCCGATATAGTTTTCTGTCAATGGTAAATTAGGGGCTTTTGTGTAATTGTAGTATGTGTTGGGGCAATATGTTTTCTATACGTGTATACATGTGACCCCTCTTATTTTTCTTCATCTCACCTCTATGACCCAATTCGACCCCCTCCCCTTTAGCCATTGACACTCCCACACGTTGAAAACACCACCTCTCCCACCGCCTGATCCAAACCCCCCCCCACCCAACCAACACCTTGAAGCTTTTCCCTGCCTCCCCCAACCAAAACCCCTTCCAAAAGACACTCATGCTCCGCTTAGTATGCTAGAAAAATGAAAAGATGGAAAATTAGAGAGATAAATAAAACATTTTATTTGGTAAGGAAGAAAAATATGAAGGATAGAAAAATTGATGGATTAATTTTCCTTTCAACTCACCAAAATTAATCCCTCCAAAATCGGAAGGAAAGTGAATTATTTGTGTTGAGATGTATCTTATTTGTCTATATATTATGTATACATTAATTTCATATAAAAATACAATGATAAAATATGTATTCATATAAAAATATTTAATTTAAAAATAAAAATTTTAAATTAAAAAAATATGTTTTTCATCTTAATTAGGGGTAAAAATTTTCGACTCAACACAATGACACGATTCGAACTCGACACGAATTTTATGACACGAACTTGATTATAACTCGACAAAAACTTAACAATGACCTAACATGCGCATAAGAAATATAAAAAACTCATAATTTTGTCACTTCTAATATTAGAAAAAAAAAATTAGTCATTTTTATTTTTCATCCATCCAATCAAACACAACGAAAAAAAAGTGTATCATTTCTATTTTTTATCCTTGAAAGATAAAAAAAATATCCCTCCTACTTTCTATTTTTCTTAACAAACAGAGCATCAGNTGAATTTTATGACACGAACTTGATTATAACTCGACAAAAACTTAACAATGACCTAACATGCGCACAAGAAATATAAAAAACTCATAATTTTATAATTCAACACGACGCGACTCAATTGTCACTTCTAATATTAAGGAAAAAAAATTAGTCATTTTTATTTTTCATTCATCCAATCAAACACAACGAAAGAAAAGTGTATCATTTTTACTTTTTATCCTTAAAAGATAAAAAAAATATCCCTCCTACTTTCTATTTTTCTTAACAAACAGAGCATCAGTCTCTTTCTACTTTCACTCATCGGAGACAGTTGATTGTGATTGTGATTGGATTCCGATGATGGACTAAAGGTTGCATGATATGCTGGGTTGCACAACAGAAAGAGAAAAATGAATTAGACAGAATTACAAAGTTCGGGGGCAAAAAGCTTAATTATCTTTTCTCTAGGATCGATGTCCCTTATAATGCATCACTTGCACAACACAGGGCAATTATCAATTAGACACATCTACCATAAATTATAAGATTTTTTTTTATTTATTACGGTTACACCTTAATTAATCTCTTTCTCGAGTCAACAGAATTAAAAATTTCATAAAATATAAATTTTTCATACCTTAATACAAAGGACTTGTCAAATTTCGAACTCAAAATGAATGAGTTTACAGCTAATCGTTATCTTCACTGGACTATCATTGGGGATCTAAGAAGAAATTTTGGAAAAAAAACATAACCAATTCAGGGACTAAAGCGGAATCAGGTGATATTTAGGGAGCCAAAAGTATAATTCACCCCAAAACCAGAAACATTGCCAACCAAGAAAAAGCACGCAAAGCAAAGTGCAGGATTGTTGATGCATAAATTGACTTGTAAGCTTCTGTATCTTGTCGGCTGAGACGGATTTGTTTTGAATTTTAGTGAATTTGTATTAAAAAAAATATTATATTAAATTATTTTATATTATATTTATGTCATATATAAATAATATATAATTAATATATAGACGGATCTTATATTTTTTTAATTAATTTTACTTATATCATATCTGTAAGAGGCAAAAAATTGAGATTACCTCTTACTGGAATTGAACTGGTTATGGGGTTCTGAACCTGATCTCCCAATCTTCCCCTTCCTATAAAACCAACACTTTGCCCAAGATCGAAGTGTTTCGATCGAAAGCATTCTGATGCTTAAGTCAGTAAGGATAATAAAACGAATGCAAGAAGACAAGGAGGGTTCAACGTACCTTTCACCTTGGTTCCTCTTAGTTTTTATAGATCGTTATCCCCTTAGGGTTTCCATGAATTTAGGTTCAAGGTAGCACACTTTCCTTCAATTCAGTCTTTCAGTTTGGGAAGTTGCTGACATTTCTCCAACAATTCCTCCTGATATCTACAATTTCGTTGATTCGTTTATCTGATTGCTTAAGTTATAGGTGTATCTTTATCCTTCTATTTATCTAAAACAGTTCGGACATTTCAAATGTCGAGCACACTTGATATTTGTCGAACAGATTAAGCGACTTGGTCTGGCACAAACCAATTTCTTCAATTGCCTTATTGAATACTTTATCGGACTCGGCTTGGTAAGCTCTTTCATTGCTTAACCGAACAGATTGATGAGTTCGGTCACAAAGAGAACCAATATATTGCCGATCCTCTAATTACCTCGGCTTAGTTAGAAAGCTCTTAATAGAAAAATCCTTCATCACGTGTCTGGTCTTATCAACATCACGTGAGCACATTTAATGTTGTGTCACGTGTAATCATGAGGTTTAACCCCTTCATTTGCCCCCAGAAAACGTCTGACACACGTTTTTTGGCTGTCAGCCATTTTCTTATTGATTCATCATCACTTATACTTCGTAACATGCCTTTTCGTTTTGGTGGCACATTCAGAGCATTTAAATGTAGCCCTTTAAAATTTCTCTTTCTTTATAACAGTCTTCCTTCACATTTTTCTTTTTTGCTGCCAGACTTTCAGATTCTTATCCTTTTCTCTTCGTGTTCTTATTCATCTGCATTTCATCTTCTTCATGGCTCCTCTTACTATCAGAAGTTCCTGCTTTCAAAGCCAAGTATAACATTCCAGACGACGTTTGAGGTTAAAGTTGGAGGAAAATATGAGCCACTGATTGGGACCAGAGAGAGAATCTTCATCCCCACTCGAGCCATTACTGAGGGTGGAATCCGTTTTCCACTCGATCCACTTCTTCTATGGGTTCTTTCTGCCGCTAAACTCTGTCCCCTCCAATGCTGCCTCAATTTCTTTAGGATAGTCATAGGGGTGTCTGCTTTAAACAAAATCTTAGGTCTGAGTCTAGGTTTATGGGATATCATGTATTGTTATATCATCAAAGCTGCTAGAGACAACTATTATCTTTCGGTGAGGAAGAAGGACCGCTATCTAGTCACCCATCTTCCAGATTCGAACAAAGGTCATGAAAATGACATTGTGTTCATTTCTGGGAATTAGGAGTACCCTACTGATGATTCACCCTCTTATTGTTGCCCCTATGAAGAAGGCGCACCAGGTATTTGAACCTTCTTTTTCCTCAAAAACACATGTTGTTCTCTCTTTCCTTGTATCTGATATATCTCTTGTGTACAAGAGATGGTGAAAGGCAAAATCCCCGAATCTTCTGTTAAGTTGGACCAGCTCCAGAAGGTTTGGGATTTCAACGAGTCCTTGTTCTGCCGTGCTGCGCATACGCTGCTCGGATACACACCAAACTACACGTCCTTTATTGCTATGCCGAACCAACCTAATGCGACGCTTGCAGCAGATCGGGAGGCAATACAATCTGTTCGAGAGAAGACACCCCAAGGAAAAAAGAGACCTCTAGCAACCTCTAGACGAAGGTTTGCAAGGAATTTTTTAGACTTTTTGTCAACAGCTGAGCCGACTCTTCCCACCGAATCAACTCCACCTGCCTCAACTGCTCCAATCTCTGTTCTTGACGAATCGATTGCTGAGGCCCTTCCCGAGGTGCTTCTTTCCAATGACGCCGGCCTGCCTTTGGATGACCAAGCGGATTTGGCTTGAGTTGTTGAAACTTCTGTTCGTGTTGAAATGGATCCTCCAGAACCTGTCATCTCCCCTGTTCAAGAAGATGATTCAATTTTTAAGCTTGTTGAAGACCCAACCCCCAAAAGGCGAAGGACTATCGAGTCCGAAGCGAGCTTTCCTGCCGAGCCTTCCAATCCTCCATTCCGACCAATCCTTAGAGCAAAAAAGAGGGAAATCACTGCCAAGGACTCTGCAATTGAAGATTTTAATATTGCAGTAGGGATTGCCCGAGAAGTTATTTTGCCTAGGGATCTGGCAATGAATGAAGCTCTCACTGTCAATGAAGTGTCTCGTCAAGCAATCCTGCATATGATTTTGGTAAGTCCTGACTCTGACTTCTCTTAAGCTTTTTTTTTTCCTTTGAAATTTTTCTAAGTCTTTTTTTTCTTCGCATCTTCAAGGGTTTGCAAAAAGTTCATGAGGTCAGAGCACGAATAGCTCGGAAGGACAAGGCAATGAAAGACGTCTTCCATGCCCGAGCTTCGGCTCTGGCCAAAAAGGAAAGCGTGGATGAGGAGTACGCAAAACTACGAAGAAGTGAAGGTTCTGCAGGCTCAAAACCAAAGCCTGATCGAGGAAAACCAGAGGCTTTCTTCAAATGTTGAGAAATTACAGGAGTCCAAGCATGAAATCAATGTGGAGCTCTCTCAGTCCCAACTTGACTACTCCACTCTCCTTGAGGAGATTGAGCAATACAAGGCCGAGGTTAAAGGGAAAGAAGATGT